AAAAAAAAAGATTATTCATTTAAATTTTGTACACACATTCAAATGCTAGTTTAATTCTACCAAGCCTTAACAATTCCAGTTGTATGTATGAGAAGTGAATGAATAACAGCAAACTGACTTTTTTCATGCACTTGTCTGACAAGATGAGAGCATTATTAAAAGTAACTTGCTTGTACAGTAGTTATGGTACTAAAAATAAGTCAGCATACAATAAATACCTTTGTTTCTTTATATTTATCATGAGACTGTCACTGTTCTCACTATTCATTCATTCAATCAGAAATTGCAGGGACATCTTCAGAAAGTAATTCTTATTCAGAATGAGTAAAAAATGTTAAGAAACTTCCCGTGAGTGACATGTCAACATCTGAAGTTTTAGCATATTTATTACGATTTTAGAAAATTTCAGACATATGAAGGTTTTTCAGTAGTGGACAAGGGTTGAGATTACGAAAAAGTTAAGGAAAGATGACAAATTGGGAATGCAGGTAAAAAAAGAAAACTGATATAGAATGAATATGATTTATTCAGAAATGGAAAAGAAGTGTTTATATGACATCATTAACAGAGTTTGAATGGGCTGGGTTAAGAAAGTCCAACAGATTCCAGTCTACATTTTGCAAATACACTTCAGTATCAGGGAAAGGACTGACCTTGCTAGAGGGTAATAAGGAAGATGTTAAGAAGTAACCATTAAAATTTCATTATAAAAGCAGGAAATGTTTTCAGTGAACAGAACATAAGAACTGTAGCTAGGCCAGAGAGTATACTTCGCTAAAGTCAAAAAGTAGATGAGAATAAACACACCGAGTTTTATAAGAAAATTTATTGAATGGCCTATTTGGTAACATTGAAGTTCAATACTTTTTGAAACATCTTGTATAAAATGTAAAATTTAAGCACAGGAAGAATAGAACATTTATGTCATTTACCCTGCAAGAGAAGTGCTCATTCCAAAAATTTTAAATCTGTTTATGATTATTCAGTATACTGAAAAACTAAAGGTTATTACTAAGACAAAAAAAATTATGATTAGATATAACTACCAAGGCAATAACGATATCTTATACAAGAGGAGGAAGTACACATCTTTATAAGCATGTGCATATATGTGGATACTTCTGTTGATGGACAAAAATCTTTGGGCTCACAAAAACTCAAGAACAAGTTAATAATATAGATTTCAAAATAATGCAAATGAAAATAAAGGAAATATGTCTATCCAGGGGTACAGTTACACTTGTTGGAAAACAAATGTTTGAGACATCAAAAATACATTACTAGGCATGCCTGCAAAATGTCACAAATTCTTTCTTAACTCTTTCAGCACAAGCTCGGCCCCTGGGACTGACCTCAAAACCATTTTGTGCTTGTTATAGTTTTCATGCTATAACTTTAATTTAGTAAGCTTATGTTAAAAAAATTTGGCAGGTTATCAGTAAACATTACAATGCTTTCATACACAAAATATCAAATTTGTTTATTAAGTCTTAAGTTT